AACACGAGACACAGGGCTGTGTACCCTCCCCAGGGAAAAGCGACAAGCTGAACTCGCCATAGTAGACACAAACTTGGTTTGTGTCCTGCGGGGCAAGACCACTGTCCCCCTGGGGGTTCTCTTCCTGCTGGACAGAAGAGAAGTCATCATGTGGCTTCAGGTTTACAGAACTGCAAAATGCTTGCGCTTAGACCAGTCGGATACATGAACGCGCTTTTGCAAATGCTGCAGCGTGCAGCCCCCTTCTGGCCTTACTTCTGGTTTTTGGATCACTGTTCTTCCCAAGATGTGATGCATGCTATGTATTTATTTGTACTTTTTGCCTGTTGTCTCATCTAGCATTGGACTCCAGGAGGGCACGGATGTGAGATGTCTTGGTCCCTGCTGCTTCCCAGGCAATCTGGTCAACATCCAGCATGGGGAAAGTGGTGGACAAATATCTACGCAATGACCAGGTATGTTAGGCTGGGGGATGACTCCAGTCCTGTCCCCATGGAGCTCACCATCTATGAGGGAGACAGGCAGGGAAACAGACAGTTATCACACCAAGTTTTAAAAGGGTCGTATTGTAGAAGGCTCAGGGGCCGTGTACACCCGGGGAAGGCTTTCTGGAAGAAGAAACTAAGGAGAGGAACTGGGTGAGAGGAGTTTCAGAGGGTGAGGGCTGCTAAGAGCATGGTGCATTCTGGGAGGAGGAGGGAATTCAATATGGCGGACAGGATGGGGCTGGAAAGGTAGGCGGAGACTAGGCCTTGAGGGTTTGAGGGTCTGGTGGGCTTTGCAAAGGGGTTTGGGTTTTATGCAATGACCTCTCATGGCAGTTCCAGCACAGCCTTAGCACCCACGACTGGTATCCGGCCTGAGAAGCAAGTCTCCAAATTCACAAGGACGTAAATGTTCACAGCAGGAAGATTTTCCATCACATTTAAATGCTGAAGAATAAATATTTTTCAGAAGTCTCATCATCTGCTCACTATGCCCTTCTGGTCAATCTGCCCTTGGTGGAGGGGGCAGGGGTGGGTCTTCAGAAGCCGCAGTCATCAACTCAGAATGTTGGGTGTCACCCCCAGCCCTTCTTCCTGTACCCACACCTTCCTTTCATCTCATCGCTTTTTTTCCCATCAATCAGGAAATCACATGACTGAAGGCCAGACCGGGCTGATGAGAAGGAGGGTCTGTGTGGCGACCAAGAGCAGGGCTGTGCGCTTTTCATCACCGAGGCCAGAGTCTGTGGCAGCAGCCCTGCCCGGACTTCGCATGTGACACGGCCCTTGGTGGCTTCAACAGAGGGCTGAAAGGCACAAAACCACCAGACCAATATCAGTCTCTTGGGAGAGAGCTGTGACATCCCTTAAGAGGTCACGGATTTAAAGGCCACCAGCTGGCTGCCCCACGCTGCTGGGCAGCATCACTAGCCCACGTCGTGAGAGCAGATCCCCGCTGATACCTGCTTTGGGACGCTGCACTGAGCTGCCACATGAGAAACAGCACGTCCTGGAAGGTCTCTCTGGTTCGAGCTGGGATCCAGGGCTGCAAGCCCCGCTGCTTCCAGTGTCTGTGCCGCAGCTGTTCGCTGGGCACGTGTACTGGCCACCTGGCGGAGGTGGGTTCCAACTGACAGTTACTCCGAAGCCGCCTAGGTGTCAACCTAACTGAGTTAGCTTTCTGGGAGGACGCAGGCAGGAAGCGCCATCCCCCTGGAAGGACCACGCACACAGCTGTTCTGCCCCTGCACTCGCGGGTGGGCACAGACGGCTGCAAGAGCTGAAAGCCAAGGTGTATGTAGGTCACCTTGACACACGGATGGCGAGACGGGTCTCCTACTGACGTTTCACATCAGCGTCACTGCCCGCCAACTTACGGCTCCCTGAGTCTAGGCCACCCCGTGGGCGGGGGTCTCACTGCAAACAGGATTCTTTTTACTCTGTATGCAGAACTTGGTCTCTGAGGTCGCTTCCCCAGGAAGCACGTCTCCCCCTGCTGGCAACCCATGGCATGTCTTGTGGACGTGGGGTCAGCGGTGCGGAGGATGGCTTGCCTGTTCCTCTGAGGGCCTTCCAGGTCCCCAAGGTGACCCTCGTGTGTAATGCAGAGCCCGGATTTAAGGCAGGCCTGTTCCACGTGACTTTTCACATTTGCTCCTTGCCCAGCTACTGCCTCAGGATACAGGGACAAAGAGGGTCCTCTCTGTACCAGAGAGAGGTACGGATTGCTCACAAAGATTTCTCTAGCAGGCGGTGATGCCAGGCCACAGTGTACAAGGTGAAAATGCTCCCAAACCAAACAACTGTATTGCATCTACTGAAGACTCCCCTGGTATATCTTACGTGGATTATCTAATACAATTTTCACAGTAACTCTGTGAAGACAGGAGTCTTACCATTTCACAGATGAGGAAACTGAGGTTCAGAGAGGCTAGGCCACTCGTCCAAGGTTGTCTGGCTGGTCTGGGGGGAAGAGCCAGGATCAGAACCTGGGTCTGCCCAGCCCGAGTTTGTGCTCCTAACCAGGAATGGCGTGTCCCAGCCCCGCTCCCCACAGTGGTGGCTGGACCAGCGGTACCAGGGTCACCTGGTGGCTCGCTAAGGTCCAGGAGGACTGGAGTCAGAATCTGCATGTTGGCAAAATCCCAGGTGACTTGTGTACACAGTACTTTGAGAACCGAGGGGGCCACGTTTGTTGGTTTTAGCACATCTTTTCCGTGCAGGCTTGAACAACCAAGTCCCCACCCTGGGGCCGTATATTCTCTGGAAATGTTAGAATGTGCAAAATAAATAGATAAGTAAACAAACAAACAGACAACTCCAAAGGTCTATCTAGATTACTTCCCTAGCAGAACATCTCGATGTTTTCATGATTCTGAAATATTGCTGCCAAACAAGCTCTTAGAGGTTCAAGCAAAGCTATAAAAACAGGGTGAGAAGGGTGAATTTTGACTCCGAGAAGTGAAAATCTGACGATGCTTTGAATTATAGCCGATCAAGATTAATTCCAGGCCCCACTTAGAGGAAGCTTTCAGGCGGAGTGCTTTCTCGCCCTAATGTGCCAGGTGAAGGGAGCGATGACTCTATTGCTTGGTGCCACTTACATTTATGGGCTTGTCCCCACAAGGGCTGGGAAAACATCATTTAGGGCTGACACGGGGCCAGCTGGGGGCTCGGTCTCGTGGGGCTCTGTTTTGAGGACTCATTATTCACATATCCTGTTGTGATTTGTGACTCTGTTTAATTACGGCAATTTTATCAGGGAGGGTTTTGTGTCGGAACCTCGGGAAATGGGAAGAGCTCAAAGGCTGTACATCTTGAACCGCTCACCATGCGCAAACCACCGGGGTCTTGTCAAGGAGCAGAATCCTCGTCAGGCCTGGGGCTGGGGCTGCTGCCACCGGTGGCTGGGGAAACTTGCCGCGGGAAAGCGTGGAGAGGGTGGGCTCCGAGCCCGACGCTGCCACTTGGCAGCTCTGTGATGTCGGGAAGGTGGCTTAACTGCTCTGAACTCCAGACTTCTCATGTCAAGTGGGGATCACTCCTGCCCTCTAGGGTCTTTGTAAGGCTTAGAGACGATGCGTGTGAATCTCCTTCCCACTCCCAGAGGGGAGGGTGAGACTCATTCATTGCACGTTCAGCTGAGATCTGTCTTTTTTTCCTAAACAAGCTAACATTCTCCCTGATCCAGATCTCTGACCCTCAGCGCTGCCGCCCTGGGGGCCGTCCTGTGCATTACAGGACGTTAGCAGCATCCCTGACTGGTAGCACCTACCTCCCGGAGTTGTGACCAACAAAACCTTTGCAAACACTGCCAAGGGCCCCTGGAGGTAACAATGTCTGCAACTGGGAAACCCTCTCCCCAGCCACAGTTCCTATTAATTGTTCATTCGACAGTTTGTGTTGAGTAGCTACTTTGGGCCAGACTGTGTGCCAGAAATATGTGGATATTTAAGCCAGACAGGGCCCTGACCTGTGGACATTTTTTCTGTTTAGAACCGATGTCTTCTCAGCTGTTCGGTGGATGTAACCAGACTACTAATGTCACGTCCCGGCTGGGAGGATGAGGTGAGTTAATCTGGTGTCTGAATGGAGCCGGAGAGATGCCAGGAGCAATCTGGGCTGTGGGGCAGGCAGGGAGGCGTACATGCTGGGCCCGGTGTCCAGGCCTGCAGGAGCAGCAATATGGGAACAGGATGTGCAGGGAGGGCCCAGGCAGCAGGGAGTGGGACCGGACTGGAAGGAGGAGGAGGGGGAGATGGTGGGAAAGGTCTTAAACCAACAGGAAGGGGTGGAGACAGGAGGGCCAAAGAGCAAAACATAAAAAATCAGATGGAGATGTGCTCCTGTGATACAAGCCGAGCAGGGAGCCCCAGGGCAGGAGGGGAAGGAGCCAGGCTGTGGGAGGAAAGGCTGTGATGCAGATCATGGCACGGACCCCGGGGCAGCCACACAGGGTGGGGAAGAGCGGCTCTTTCTGTTCTGGGCTCCCACGATTTTGGTTACAAAGAGTTAAAACAGAAAATAAAGGTCACTTGGCCAGCTCCTGCCACCTCCTCTGAATGGGCCTCCCCAGAGGGACAGGAACGGATCACAGGCAGCCTTCGAAGGAAATGAGGCTGCTTTGCCTCACTCTGCGTGGTGTTATTGCCACCGGTGTGGCGTGGACATTAAACACATCTGTGAGCAGGTGACAGAGGGGGGCACTAAATGCCCCGGGCCGGGCCCTGGGTCCCCTGCCCCCCAGGAGCCCTCCAAGTAGTCCACTCAAGTGGAATCAAGTTGCGAATGTTGATTCCAAGCCAGCTCGCAGCTCTCGACACGGCCCTGGAGCGCGCACGACAAGCTGGCCGCACGGAAAACACAGGCAACGACAAGACTTCCAGCCCAGAGCAAGAACGCTCTCCGGCTGCTGCTGGGAGGCAGCAACGGCCCCCAGAAAACAGTCTTGAGGCCTGTAACATACACGTGCCACATTTTTAAAATGATAAAATCTCAAGCACATCACTTTGTGAGCTTTTGATTTTATTAGAGATGTACTCTAAGAACAGTCGAGAAGCCGTGCTTGGGATGCAGTGGGTCACATCACCGGTTCCACAAAGATCTTCCAGAGCTCCTGCAGCAAACAGAGAAAGCGGGGGTTCCTGAGGGGTGCAAAGGAGACCTCGCGATGTCAGAGAGGCAAGTGATTCACCACGGAGGACAGCGCACAGCACACGAGCTGCCCCAAGGGTGGGGAGCGCCTCCTGATTCTGTCGCTCTGCCTCGCCACGGGAGAGTGAGGAGCTGGACGGACGAGAGGACGTCACAGAATCAAGATGGGCCAGAAGAGGGTCAGCCAGCCACCGCTTTCCCGTTTGGGGAGCTCTAAAGTGCCATGCCCCGTGGCCGCTGACTTTCCGGGCCACGTGCCTCTCCTCCTACCGCGGGCAGGCGGAGAAGGTGCAAACACACACAGCTCCCGGTGGAAACCCTGGACACCCGGCGTCCTCGCGGGCAGAGGACGGTTGGCCGTCTGTGGGGGGCGGCCCGGAGGCAGCGGAGCCAGAAACCCAAGGTGGCTCCTCACGTGCGGCAACCACACGGATTCAGCGCTGTGCTTGCTGGGCGGGCTCCCTGTTGGCCCTCCTCCCTCCCGTCCTCCTCAGAACTACACCTGGTCTCCACGCACCCGGAGAAGGGGCACCCACAGCCAACAGGCAAGGAGAATAAAAGAGATTAATCCCGGACCTTTGGACTGCAGCTCCCAGTTACGTAAGTGATTATTATCAAGGGTAATTTTGACTTCTCAGATTTCCTCCATGAGGGGGATTTAAAGCTGTAACAGGAAGCGGCTGGGCCCCAGCTCTGTGGCTGCCTGGCGGGGTGACTTACCTGGTCTCGGCATCAACTGAGGCCAGGGAGGAAGGAGCTCGGCCTGGTACCCGGCCCGTGTACCGCTACTGGGAGGCTTCCTCAGAGGCCTAGTCTGATGGACCCAGCGGGCCTGGTCGGAAGGGCCACTGGCAATTAGACAAGCCTGCCCAGTCTGGGAGGCCAGCCCATGTCCATGGCGAAGGTGTGGCCTCCAGCACTGGGGCTCCTGCATGAGAACCCCACCACGTGTCCCCCGGCGGACTTCCTGCACCCCAGCCGCCTCCTGTGCTTGGCCCACTTCCTCTGCAGCAGGAACTGCCCGCAGGGAAAGAGCGCCCTGTAAGTCCAGGGCGACAGACGGCCCGCAGGCCCACGTGCAGACACGGTGGCCCCTCAGGATGGGGAGACCCCATCGCCGTCTTTGGTGCTAGCCGCCCCTCTGCCCTGGCAGCACCGGGGTGCGGCGCCCGCGTGTGGGGGCCCTGGGTCCGCGGCGTCGCGCACAGCAGTGACAGCCCGCACCTACCAGCTGCTGGATGCGCTCGTAAACCAGGAGCTGCGGGAAGGAGGCCTCCACCCGCTCCACCGCGAAGCGCAGCCGGCCGTCCGCGAGCCCCTCCAGCCGCCGCAGCCAGGAGCGGAAGTGGTCGTACGCCTCGCATGTGACGTCCAGGTGTCTGAGTGTGAAGTTCAGCCTGCAAACAGGCAGGCAACACACACTCACCTCGCCTTCCCGCCGCCTCCCTGACCTCACTCCCCACCGGTGGATCTTCACCGCGCGCCTACTGGTGCTGAGCACTGGGCGCGCTTCCTTCCCGAATCTGCAGGGGAGCCCGGGAGGTGGTTCCACTTCACAGACGCGGGAACCGGGGCTCAGGGAAGTTGAGTCAGGTGCCTGAGATACCACCGCCAGACAGACGGGCCCCGCCCTGGACTCTTCAAAGTGGAGCAGGAGGCAGACACAGAACACCGTGGGCTGGCTTCCCCACTTCCCCAGCACAGAATCTGCGCGTGGGGTGCCCCCGGCTGCATATGTGACCAAAGGACGAAGGGCAGGGGCCTCAGAGCAGTGGGCGCCGAAGGCTGCCGGGAGGGGGTGGGCCAGGGCCACTTCAAATGGGTCCTTCCAGAGCCCTCCCGGCCCAGCTGCTCGGCCATTTCTCCACCCCAACCTGCAACACGATGCAACCTGAAACTCAAATTCTTTGCTTCTTTCCCTTTGCTTCCCCACATCTTTTACTAAGAAGAATTTCCAACAGTGTGATGGACGGCCCCACTTGCACCACCACCAGCTCACAGCCGCTGAGGACCCTCGCACACCCAGAATGGATTATTAAATAGCTAAGGCCAGCCACTACAGCATTTCTCCCGCAAAGATGGACACAAGCATCTCAAAAACATAAAGCCTCTTCTGTTTCTTTGTTTCACCTAAAACAAATCTAATGATAATTCTTTATCATTCCAACATTCAGTTGGGGTTCAACTTTTCCTGACGGTCTCGCGTTCTCCCTGGGTGGTCTATAAAACCAGTCTCCAAATGAGATCCACATGCTGTCAGTGGTCACGTGTGCCTCAAAGGGGCTCCTCGACATTTTAGAAATGAACAATATGCCCAGATGGATGGTGTGGACACAGCCATGGTCATTTCCATAGGGCGGATTTCTAGATGCCGGACTGCTGGCTCACTAAGTACGTTTGGTTTCACGGCTTTTTTTTTTTCTTTTTAAGATTTTATTTTTAGGCAATCTCTGCACCCAACATGGAGCTCGAACTCACAACCCTGAGATCAAGAGTGGCAGGCTCCACTGACTGAGCCAGCCAGGCACCCAGGTTTTATGGCTTTTGCTACATATCCTGAATTGCCTTCAGAAAAGTTGTGGGCTAGGGGCCCCTGGGTGGCTCAGCTGGTTGCGTGTCCAACTTCGGCTCAGGTCATGATCTCACGGTTCGTGAGTTCAAGCCCCACATCGGGCTGGTGGCTGTCAGCACGGAGCCTGCTTCCGACCCTCTGTCCCTCGCTCTCTGCCCCTCGCCCGCTTGTGCTCTCTCAAAAATAAATACACATTAAAAAAAAAAAAAAAGGACAAGTTATGGTCTACCACATGATCGGAGAAAACCGTGTGAAAGGTGTCTGCTTGTACCATGAAATGCCACTCCCTCAGCGGGAGCCCCAGGGCTTCCGGGTGGAGGGGTCCGTCTGCATCGGAGGAGGACAGACGGACAGAGGCCTGGGGTGCTGAGGAGACAGACGGCATCCTGGAGGGGACGTTCAGAGAGATAGGCCCTGGACAGCGTGGTGGCCACGTGTCCATGGTGCAGCTACGTTCAAGGGCTTGTCTGCTCGCAGACCAGCGTGACAGGCTCCCTGGCGCCCCTCAGCCTTCCTCTCCACCGGCAGGGCGGGGGCGGCCACAGGCACACACAGGGCCGGGGGATGACACGAGATCACATGTGGGAGGGCAGCATGGGCTGGCACACGGCAGGGGCTCCGTGCGTGCACGTTGGGACGGCGTGGACAGGAGCGCACTCCAAGGGGGGCGCGGAGCTCACCGCTTCTCCACAGACAGAATGGCCGTGCAGGCGTTCTGCAGCTTGTGAGCGAGGCGGGACAGGGTTTTAAACAGAGCGTCGGTTAGGTCATCATCGTAAAACACTGTGGGGAAGGAAACGGGCATGAGGGGAAAACCCACCACCACGGGCAGATCTGCCCCTGGGAGGACCCCCGGCACTGCACTGCGTCCCTAGAAACGTGCCCCCGCGACGGTGCTCAGGCTGGAAACCGCAGGCGGGCACGGCGGGCGACTGGGGGCTGGGAGGGCTCTGCGGAGGAGGGGTGGGGGCACCGCTGCGACCAGGACGCCTCACCTTCGGCCGCAAGCAGGATGGTGGTGTGGCTGTACAGGTCAGAGACATCCTCCTGCGACCAGCTGAAGGGGACCTCCGGGTCTGTGAAAGAGGAGAGGCCACTCTGTGCACGGCCCTTCCCCCGTGGGCCAGCCGGGAGCGGCGGGCACCAGCAGGCAGGGCTGCACCCGGCAACGGCACGCGTGGCTGCCAGGGGTCTGCCTCCCCACCGAGGGGCGGGCACTGCTGCCCCGTGAACTGCTGTGCGGCCCTGAGGAGGGTGCTTCCCCTCCCAGGGCATCACACAGGAGTGGGCGTTACTAGACATGCCCTCAAGGGCGGCTGGGGAGCTCTGGGGCCATGGGCAGACCCTCGGCACGCAATGACTCTCCCACCTGACACCTGACGGGAAAGGACACTTTGCACACAGCAGGCAGTTCACACAAGCATGTAGGTCTGACACAGCCCGGGTGATCAATTCAGAAAACTCCCCCACCGGGGGGCCCTGCCCTTAGGACAGGACAGAGTGCCGTGTGTGAGGCTGCTTCCCAGCCCTGGGCAGGTGCTCAGCCCTGAGCGCCAGGCCTCACCTGTAGCTCAGGGGCCACTGTGCCTACTGTACGGGGACGCTCCCAGTCTGAGTGACAGAGTGGGTGGAAGGTGCCAGGAGCGGCCATCATCAGCCGACGGAGAGAAGTGGCCGTGGGCCGAGAGGCTGTGGCACAGCCGGGAGCCTGCAGCTCAGCCCAGGCCACAGGGAGCTAGGACAAGCGGCCGTGAGTCCGCTGGGACGGGGGTGGGGGGCGCACCTGTGCACAGGTCGTCGCGGAGCCAGTCCAGTTCTTTGACCTTAACCACACCGCCTGCAAGAGCAAAACCAGGCAGAACGTCCAGACTTTCGTAACAGTCGGGGAAGAAGATAAGCCTTCCCATCCTACGCCGAAATCCCTCCATCCAGCACGGATCCCTTGGCCAGCACGGAGCGCCAAGCATCAGGTCTGGCACCGGACACGGGGAAAACAAAGGTGTATGAGACGTGTCCCTGTCCTCGGGGACCGGCAGCCCAGGAGAGACTGGGGGGTGGGCACACACCAACAAGGCAGGGGTCAGGGCACTGTGATGAGGACAAGCCGAGCACAGGAGGGAGAGAGGAGCTCAGGTGTCAGGCGGGGGGTGTCAGGGAAGGCTCCAAAGAAGGTGAGTCACACCTGCCCCTCCCCTTCCACCCTTGTTGACTAGGCATTCGACAAACAATGTGACGGGGATCAGGCAGGCCCCGTGGCCCAGCAGGGTGTCACCCAGTCACACACAGGTCAAAATGCAGTGGTTCGAGGAGAAGCCAGGCTCTGGTAGGGAGCTGGGACCTTGTCTGCAGGTCTGAGCATGATTAGGGGCAGCAGCACGAAGGCCAGGGGGGAGCCTCAGACAGGCCAGGGTGACCAGAATGGAGGGAGCCCTGTGAGGCAGGCGTCGCAGACGGCAGGGCCAGACCCCAGCGAGATCCGGGACAAGCAGAGGGGTCCAGTGTGCACTCAGACAGCAGTGGAAGACCTGGAGGGCCTGAGGCCCATGGGCTGGAGCGGCCGGACAGTGGGAGAGCGCCCCCAGCTGCTCGGGAAGGGTCTGCACGTACAGTCAGGGGAGGGTGGCCGCTGCTTCCGTCACATGAACTGGATTCTGCAGGTGGTGGGGGGGGGGGCGGGGGGGGGGGGGCGGGACGGTCTGGGCAGAGGGAGGAACTTGTGACATGAGTGCTCTGCTTGCCAGTGAGGCAGTCAGTGGAAAAGGGAGGGGGAGCAGGCAGAGGCCAGACCACGAGGGCTGGGAGGCAGAGGGGCTCAGACTTCACCCTTGAAGCTTTTTCACTTTTTCACAGGGGACTTAAGGGGTCAGACTTCCATCGTCACTCTAGATGCTTCCCGGAGGACACCTTGGGCGGGCCACACAAGGAGCTGGGAGACCAGGTGGGGGCCACTGTGATGTCCAGAAGGGAGCGAGCTGAAGTGGGACATGGCAGGGGATGTAGGGAGGAGGACAGGGCGCGACGACGGAGTCATCAGACGGGAAGCTCTGGGAAGCCAGGGCGGTGCCCAGAAGGGCAGTGGCCAGACCCCATCTCCCAGTGTCACAGTACAAGGTGCTTGTCCCACCTGCCAGAGAACCCTCCCCCCAGCTGGAAGACCCACCGGGCCTCACCTCCAGCAGCAGTCAGGTGGCCATTGAGGGCAATATTTCGCTGGCACATGGCCAGGAGATCTGCGCCGACATCTGGAACAACAGAACGGCAGGCCGTAAGACCCCAGCCGTCACCACACTGTCATCCCCCGGTTTCTGCCTGGAAAGAGCTGGGACGACAGCATGGCTGCAGAGAGGCACCAGACGAGGAGGAGAGCGTCTCCCGTGTGCGCACTGCCACGGTTCGGTGTGCTCCCCGGGAGGCTCTTCTCGATGACCTTTCCCTTAGGGAAGAGTTGACGGTGCTGGAGGGGACGGACTCTGCGCGCTCCAGAGGGAAGGGGTGAGGCCTCGCAGTGCGGTTAGCGCGTGTGACACAGACGCGGGCGTTTGGATGCGACGAATTGAGACACACAGCGGGTTCCAACGAGCCGCGGGTGCCCTCCCGTGCGTGACTCGCCGTCACGGCCGCGCGCGTCCCGGGCCTCCCACTGCTCTGACCAGGTGGTGTCTCTCACCATTTCAGCAGAACCCAGGCACAGTCAGTGCATCCATCCCTGATGGGCACGGGGTGTGGGCATTTTACCAAAACTTACCAAGACCCTTAACATGCGTCAGGAGAACGCACGGGTGGAAGGCACCGAAGGCCGCGTGGTGACGCCTGCCTGGCCCCCAGACTCTGTCCCATCACTCACTATGGACTCAAGGAACGCGCAGAGCCTGGTTGTGGGGGAAGTGCCCTGCTCAGCACAGGGACACATCTGTCCCTTTCCCTGGGCCACTGGCTCAAGGGACTACTGCACACACCAGTCCAGCAGCTTGTCAGTGTTTAGGGCAGTTCTTGTCCAAATAGATCTCGTGTGGGATTCTGACACAGAAAATGGGACAGAAGAGACCAGCTGTGGCCGAGGGGGCGTGGTGGTAGACCAGAGGCCTGGGGCTGGCCCCCAATTTTCCCTCTGCCAGCTGCTGAGGGAGCTCTCACAACTCTGCTCCGTGGAAAACTCTGTTCCATGAACCACTGGCGCCCTCCCCACGCCCCACATGACAGTAGCTGTGTGTATGACCTGGGGCCAGCCACCCGACCTTAGCCTTAGTCTGCCCACCTGGACAGACTGGTGCTCGGCTCCCTGGCGAATGCCCGGGCTCACTGTGAAGGTACAAGCAGGTGCAGAAGCACGCGAGAGGCCGTGCAAACTGCAGCGTGCTGTCTAGAGGCAAGCTCTCTTCTCTGTGCCAGGAAACCTCCCTCTCAGGGGTAAGACAGCTTGGTCACGTCCTGTAATTGGGCACCAGGAACAGGGCAGAGCACCCGCGAGTGGCATTATGGCCCGACTCTGAGAAGCGCTCGCTGGCAACCGACACGAGACAGTGATGGAGCAAAGGCGGGGGCTGCCCTGTGGACTCCCGGCAGTGGCTGATGCAGAGTATCTGCCAGGCGTGCCCCGTCCCGGGCGACCCCCAACCTCCCTTTCCTGTCTCAGAAGTAAAAGATGGGCACCATGAGCAGGTGGCCAGGCATCAACGAGATGCAGACCACAGCAGCAGATGCCCCTTCCCGCCTAGCAGACGTGGAAGATGTCAGGCACAGCGACACTAGCTGATGAGCTACTGCTCTCTTACGAACTGGTTCCCACTCTCTGAAAGGGTGTGTGGGCCAGCGGGGAGCCGAGAGCATTGCTCCCGCGTCGAGCTGCCGGCGTCATCGCCGAACTATGGTTAAGTAAGACGTCATCACTGCGGGGAGGGGAGTGAGGGCTACACGGCATTTGCTGTAATATTTTCGCAGTTTCCACGCCAGTATAATATTATTGCAAGATAAAACACTGAAAGAGAAATCCCTTGGCAATGTGTAGCAAAAGCTTATAAAGGGTCACAGCTGCTTCTAGGAGTCCAGCCTGAGGACTATGAGACAATGGGGCACAAACGCGCTCACCACGGTGCAACGGACAACTGTGAAAAACACAAACAAACAAAAAAGACCAAAACGCATGGCAACCACCAAAATGCCCAGAGATAAATATTACCTGGTCATTAAAAGTCATACTTATAAATAATTTCTAATGACTTTGGAAAATGCTCTTGGAAAAATGCTTTTCAACATTTTTGGCAACACACAGCACAGAATACCCAGTCTGATCTCAGCTACTGGGAGTCTGATCTCAGTCTGGGAGTAGGTACGCTCCAAACAAACAATCAAACAAACAAACAAACAAACAAAAAAACCACGAGGGAAAAAACTGTGTAATGATCGCAAAGCTCCTTGCAGACAGCAACTTCATCTGTTCTATTCGCTCCTGGATCTCCTGCATCTAAGACCGTGTCTGGCATATCGCCGGCCAGAGCTCCATAAATTGCACACTGTTGAATGGATCTGGGGTTGGTAACAAAATGAGTAAATTGTATCTGCTGCCCTAAAAACCTTCCACAACAAGTAGGCAAGATTTCTACAACTGAGAAAAAAAGCGATAAACCCGTTTTCAAGCCTTATAAAAGGCATGCTCCTTGCGGTTTTCTGAGACGTCTGCTCTTTCCCAGGGTGATAGGGTGTGAGAGGAGGTTTCAGGGGGGTAGCTGGTGCCTCCTGGAGTGAGGGGTCCTGCACTGTGGGTGTGGCCGGAGAAAGCAGCAGAACGGGAGGGCAAAATCAACAGTGGCCAAGGCCCAATTCCCAGCCCCTCCTCCCTTTCTGATAGCACACTCCCTGCGAAGAGACGACGTCCCCACAGCCCGAGGTGGCGGGCTTACCTGTACAATATACCGTGCGTGCCACAGTGGCTGCAATGATGCTGGCCAGCCCCGTGCCCGCCCCGAGCTCCAGCACGGTGCGGCCCTGGAAGAGGTCCCGCTGAAAGAGGATGTAGTCTGCCAGGAGCAGGGCACCCCGCCACACCTGGAGGAGACACGGACCAGGAATGACAGGTGACGTGAGGCTCCGGGGAGACCCCACAGGGCCACAGGAAGTGGATGGGGCCTACCCACCTGCTTGCCAACATCCTCCAGGGGGGTGGCCATGGTGTGCTCTGGACAGGATGGAGACCAAAAGAGAAAGGGCCACTGTGAAAATGCAGACGGACAGAACACAGACAGACGAGGTGCATGGCATCTGCAAACACGGCCAGATGGGCACTGAAGTCGGGTGTGCTAGAGAGTGGCAGAAACACAGGCCACACAGCAGTCGGGGCGGAAGCGGGTGGGTGAGCGTCACTCACAGTGCAGGCCCTGAGGCTGCTCAGAAAACCGGGTGTCTCGGACCCACAGCCTGAAGACTAGGGTCACCGTGGGTCGTGGGCCCACCTCGTCCAACACGCACACAGCACTTCATGATGCTCGATAACTGCATGTTACATTACAACATACTCCTGTTGTCCTGATCAACTGTATGCTGGTAGGAGTCATAACACATTCCAAGTATTTAAAAAAAAAATTTTAACATTTATTTATTTTTGAGACACAGAGAGAGCATGAACAGGGGAGGGTCAGAGAAAGAGGGAGACACAGAATCCGAAGCAGGTTCCAGGCTCCGAGCTGTCAGCCCAGAGCCCGACGCGGGGCTCGAACCCACGGACCGCGAGATTGTGACCTGAGCCGAAGTTGGACGCTCAACCGACTGAGCCACCCGGGCGCCCCTCCAAGTATCTTCTTACACTTACAAGCACACCAAAAGTCAACAATGTAAGTTGGAGCTTATATCCTTTCTTAGGTGAACTATGATAAGAAGTCTTCTCAAGCGCAAAATATATCCAGCTAAAGTCGGTGGAGGCATGGGGGCGAGGGGGCGAGGGCAGAAACAGGAGACCAAAGGGCAAAAGGAAAATGGCAAATACCCTTGCTGTTAATCAGAGCTGGCTGTCGTATTTCTTAAAAATTTTTTTTTCAGGTTTATTCATTTTTCAGAGACAGAGAGATAGAGTGTGAGTGGGGGAGGGGCAGAGAGAGAGGGAGACAGAATCCGAAGCAGCCTCAGGCTCTGAGCGGTCAGCACAGAGCCTGACTCCCGGATGGCAAGATCATGACCTGAGCTGAAGCTGGACGCTTAACCAACTGAGCCACCCAGGTGCCCCGCGGCTGTCATATTTCTAAGCAAGATGGTGACAGCCACCAGAGGAAAACGCACACGGCACGCGCACAGGGGGGCATGCACACAGTGGGGCAGCTCCGTGTGACCGCCAGCCTTGCACAGATCAGACCACACGCTCACAACAGGAGCAGGGACCGAGGCCCATGGGGATGTGTCCCCACGCACCCTCCGTGAGGGTCTGCCCGAGGAGGTGAGGGGGTCCCCGCGCTCTCAGAGTGCCGGCATCTCAGGGAGTCCCATGAAAGCCGAGAGCCGTGCATATGAGCGGGGTCCAGAACAGAAGGCAACCTCTCTCGTGCTCAATCAAAGCGGCAGCCACCTTTCCCCAGACCAGGGGAGAGACTGGTCGTGTGCGCTCCTCCTGAGAACCGGGGCCGCTGCTCTGTGGGCTTCTCCAGGGTAAATGTGACCCAAGATTTTTGCCCAACGTGCAGACTTAAAATCTGATCCCTGAACGCATGACTGATGCGCTGCCTGGTGGCACCTTGGCTGGACAGGATACTGGTGGTTTGGGAGAGGCCATGTCTAGCCCCGACACGCACCCTTCAGGACTTCAGGCCACCAAAGCCTAACACGTACCCACCCACCAACAACAGAGTCCCTTCACTGAACACTGACTGGACAGATGCCCCCTGAGCCAGGCTAGGGGCCACCGAGGTTGTACCTGATCCTGACAACAGCCCTGTGAAGTAGCCATCACCACCCCACCTACAGACGAACACACTGAGGCCAATGTGCAGCACTGTGGTTGTAAAAGTTATGGAAAAAGCACCTTTTCTCTGAACCGGGCACCATGCCAAATGCTCTGAGAGCAATCTCTCATTTCACCCTCAAAACCACCAGGGGAATGGGCTTGGGTGCTATCTCACAGATGAGGAAAGGAGGCTGACAGAGGCGAAGCAGACGGCCTGAGGTCAGAGCTAGTAAGTGGTGGGCGTGCGGTTGGACCCAAAAGGGTGCCCAGGGACGCGGTGTAAAGAACAATGGGCAGGGGGACCCCTCTGGCAGGCTGAAGAACCTGGAACTGAGAGTGGCAGGGAAGAGGCTTCCCCGGGGTCCTGTTTCTGCAGCCCTGCTCCAGACCCTCGGTGTCGGCTGCCCCCGGCCTGCCCCCTCCCCAGTCTTCGCACCCCCACCATGCACCATCCCCTGGGTGCGGCCCGTCTTTCCTCCCGTGGGCCTCCTCCCATGCTGAGGACTATGCCCATGAGAAACTGGGCTTAGCAGATGGGCTGAGACAAAGTTTCAGAGTCTCGTCTATGTCTCTAGACCTGTGGGAACCTCCCTCTCTCTCAGCCAGCCTCCCTCCCTGCACTCAGAGCAGACCCCAGGGACTAAAGCTAACGATGTGACCAGGCACTGTGCTAAGAGCTCTTTGCGAGCCATCTCCTCGTTTTTCACAACTAGAAGTGGTTACACCCATCTTACAGATGAGGAAATAGAGTTTGGAGAGATTAAGGGAACATGGCCAAGGGAAGAGGCACGGGAGTCAGGAGCTGACAGCCTGAGTTCCAGCCCTGCCTCTTCCTCTTCTCTTTGGGTCTCAGTTTATCTATAAAGCAGAGAAAATGACCATAATTTACTTTGAACCTTGGGTCTGTGGATTCCTCGCAGGTCCATGGATAAAGTTTTTAAGTTTTTGACAATCCCTTGCAATGACCTGGAAACCATTCCTTTCCGTATTTTTTAATCGGCTTCTGAGGTGCGTCCACACCCTGAAAAAAATGACTTGGTTTATGGCTTGGAGGAAAAGGGTGGTCAGGAGACGGACATCAGCTTAGCATGTGCTCTGTACCAGGCCCCGTACAGACACTTACTGGGCATTATTTATTACATTATCATCAAAAGGCAGTATCCTGTTTTATAGGTGCAAAAACAGGCTCTGGGTGTGCAAGACACTTGTCAAAGATCACCGGGCTTGTGAGGGTGGTGGGGGGTCAAAGCCCAGCTCTGCCGGTTGCCAGAGTCCAAGACCTGGTCCCTTACGTCACAGTTGGAACAAGAGGTTACTGCTGGAAGCTAATTTAATTGCCTTGCACTCCCCTCCCTTGGGGCAGGTAGGACTGAATGACACTTGCTGAAAGGAAGGGACCCCACCATGAGGTCCGTGAGATGGACTGGCCGGGAACCTGGCCATACACTGGCCCTTAGCTGTGGGACTTTGTTCTCAGTTTGCAAGATGGTAAATTCTCAGCATGTTCAACACACACGCACGCCAGAGGCCGAACCCTCAGTATGAACAACCGAGTTGGCCACTCTGCTCAGGGAAGCCAATTAAGTGACGAGTGAGAGCAAAATGAGCCATCATGGCATTCCCCCCAACCCCCCTGCCAACAGCTCCCCAGAACAGAACTTTCCAATGTTCGGATCATGTGACATTGAGTAAGAACATAGGCTGTGGTGCAGACAGACCTAAGTGGGAATCGTCATCCTGCCACTGACTGGCTGTGTGACCTGGGGCAAGTTCCTCAACCTCTCTGAGCCTCAAATCTCACATCTGTGAAATGAGCATGCTCACCCCTGGAAAGGCTGTGAAGAATAGAGGTAATCCATGGAAAACATGGAGTAGGGTTCTGGTGTGAATTACACATCACCCCCAACGGAACGGTCTAGAACAGTCGGCCTCGTACCAAGCAGACACTCAGCAACTATGAGTCGTATGGCTGCGCGGATGGAGAAGAGCTGCTCTGCTTCTGAGAGGGCCCTAACTGACCCTCTGGCCCCAACCTGCACCGTTGCCAGGGGTTGTGGGACCCTGGATCTCAATGAACAGACTCAATTCAGAGTTCTTTTCCCCCAAAACAAGCAGTGTCGGGGTGGCAAGAGGCCTGGCTGTGGAGATGGACGATGTGGATTCAGAACCTCCTCACTGCCCCCCAGCTGCATGGCCTCAGCTTGTCACCTCCTATCTGTACACTCCCCCTGACCCTCAGAGCAGGGCTGTCAAGACTCCTTTTTACGAAGTGACGCAGATAAAATGTCTAAACACAACAGGTGTTTAACATCAGTGGCTCACTTCCGGCCCCAGCTCCCTACTGCTCCTGGCGTTTCTAATGTGCCCGCTTCCAAGATCTGAAATCCTGGTGTCATCAAGCCCCTGTGCCCAGCGGTGACCACGTGATGCTGCCCTGCATGCCTGCCAGAACTCATTCCGGCCCTTCTCCTGCCATGTCACCGCCTCCCCTTTCCCAGCTGGCCTCTAGCTCCCAGGCCGTCTGATTAGCCCACAAGCCTCCTCCAGATTAATTCTGGTCCACCTCCTTCTCCCCCCTGCCATGCTCCAGCTCCAGAATCTCCCATGGCTCCCTGTTGCTGGCCAAGTTTTCCACAAACTCTACCCTGACCCATGGCCCCAGCACACTGAGTTGGATCAGAACATCGACACAAGAGGGGTAAAAGCAGGGCTCCCGAGAGGAGGCGATGGCTAAGCTGATACACATAACAACTACCAATGTGTTAAGAAAGCAAAGGCTGGGGGCAGGCTCTCCAAAAGGGAGGTGGAGCACAGCAGAGGCCCGCAGCGAGAAAGCGCATAGAGGGGTGTGCGGTGCCTTGTGAGCTACGCCCAGTGGCCTGGACTGTACCCTGGGGGCAGTGGGGAGGGGACCTGTGTGTCCTGAACAGCTCCCCCTACTGGCAGCGGCACCACCTGCTCTCAGTTTCCGCGGAGCTGGCTCTGGTCCCTTGTCTGGTCCTACTGCACCCAGACTTGGGCCTGCACACAGAGCCCCCCACACACAGCCCACGCCCTGGGCCGTGATCAGCACTGCGGTGCGACCCACAGCGCAAACCGGACCTGCATTTACCTATTCTGACGATATCCCAGGGGCTGCTCTCTCGTGCTCCATCTGCCAGTGGGTCCTCTTCCTCCTGCGTTAGAATCGTGGGATGTACCTTGTCTCTCGGAGGCCCTGCTGGCTCGGGGTCCGAAGCAGTCGGTGGTCTCCTCTCCACGTCCAAATCCCCGTCTTCGTCCAGCCGAGTTCCCAGCCCCACCTGGCTGGTGGCGTCACTGTGGCCACTCCCTGGAGGGGGCCTGGCACTGCCCGGTCCGGATGGTGGTGTTTCCTCGGCGAGAAGAGCGCCACGACCATCACCCTCGGCCCCTGAGTCTGTCTGAGAGTCTCGGTTCCACAGAAGCTTGAACTGGGACAGGAAAACTGAAAGGCAAGACGAACACAAAAGGAGAGTGTCTCTGAGGTGTCTCCTCCTTCCAGAAAATCTTATTTCCACCCAGAGTTTTAAACGCCAGATGGAGGCATCCTAATGCCCGCAGCAAAGGCCCGCTGGACTCGGCCCAGATGCTGGGGCCACTGAGAGCAGTTACCATGTGATGAGCGTCTCCCGTGAAAACACTTAGCTCACATTATCTTAGCCCTCCCTGTTGCTATGAAGACAGTGGCACCAGCTCCATTTTCAAATGGGGAAACTGAGGCTTAGAGAAATTAAGTGGGTTGACAAGGCCCCACAGCTTTGGACATGGCTGAGGCAAGACTCAAACCCAGTCTGCTCATTCCTAAACTGATGCCCTTCACACTACACTGTTCCACCTCTTAAGATCTGGAGGACTGGGGGGGGAGGGGGGGGGTTGGGTGACTCTGCTGGTTAAGTGTCCGGCTTTGGCTCAGGTCATCATCTCACGGTTTATGCGTTTGAGCCCCACGTCAGGCTCTGTGCTGACAGCTTGGAGCCTGGAGCCTGCTTCGGATTCTGTGTCTCCCTCTCTCTCTGCCCCAACGCACTTGCATTCTATTTCTGTCTCTCTCAAAAATAAACATAAAAAAAAAAATTAAAAAAAAAAAAAAAAAAGAAAGGGGAGCACTGTACCCAAGGACAGGCTAATACAGGGAAATCAAAGCCAGGGAGGGTGGTCAGGGAGGACCTGTGTGAGGTGACACATGGAGTCAGACCTGGGAGGGAAGAACCTTCTGGGTAGAAAACCAGTGAGAGCCAAGGCACTGAGGGAGGAAGTGCGTGCAGCGCATAAAAGACGGAAAGGAGAAGAGAATGATCAGTGTGGACACACAGGCAAGGGCTGGGTCAGGCTGGGCCACATGGGCCAGGCTAAAGAGTTGACTGTATTCTAAGAGCAAGAGGGAGTCACTGGAGGGTCTACATCAGGTCACTGATGTGATATGCATTTTCAAAAGATCCCCCTTGGCTTTGGGGGAGAGGAGCAGGAGGAAGGTGTGCAGAGCAAACCCAGGGAGCCCGGGTGGGAGGAGCTGGAGGCGAACAAGTGATGCAGGGGGCCGATGAAGGGGGCCAGAATGCCTTGGTGGGGGCGCCACTGGGAGCCCCAGCCTATCTCCCTCCTGGACCACGGGCTCCCTGAGGGCAGGGCTTGGCTCATCCCCTACTGCACTCCCAGCATCAAGTCCTGGTGCCTCTCCCCCTCCACAAAGTAGGTGCTCAGGAAAGCACAGCTTACTCTACGAAAGAGGGCGCTAAAGTGGAGGTCATGCACCCCAGTGTTTATAGCAGTACTATCGACAACAGCCAAAGTATGGAAAAGAGCCCAAATGCCCATCAATGGATGAATGGATAAAGAAGATGTGGTACACGTACATGTACACACACACACACACACACACACACACACACGTATAATGGAGTATTACTCGGCAATCAAAAAGAATGAAATCTTGCCATGTACAACTACATGGATGGAATTGGAGGGTATTATGCTAAGTGAAATTAGTCCTCCAAAGACAAACATCATAAGACTTCACTCATATGAGGACTTTAAGAGACAAAACAGGTGAACATAAGGGAAGGGAAACAAAAATAATATAAAAACAGGGAGGGGGACAAAACAGAAGAGACTCTTAAATATGGTGGATAAACAGAGGGTTACTGGAGGGGTTGCAGGAAGGGGGATGGGCTAAATGGATAAGGGGCATTAAGGAATCTACTCCTGAAATCATTGTTGCACTATATGCTAACTAACTTGGAGATAAATTAAAAAAATAAAATTAAAAAAAAAAAAAAAGTGGAGTGAGGTTGGGGTGCCTGGGTGGCTCAGTTGGTTGAGCACCTTAACTCTTGATTTTGGCTCAGGTCATCTCAGTTTGTGGGATCTGGCCCTGTGTTGGGCTCTGTGCTTACAGTGTGGAGCCTGCTTGGGATTCTCTCTCTCTGTCCCTCCCCGGCTCACACACACACTCTCTCTCTCTCTCTCTCTCACTCACTCAATAAATAAATGCTTGAAAAAAAAAAAAAAAAAAGTGCAGTGAAAACAGCTGAACGATCCAATCTTCCCAATCTTCTCCCCAAAGAGAGGAGTAGGAGAAAACAAACAAAACGGGGTCCACAGGGTGCTGGGTCCCTCCGCACGCACCCTGGTCTTACCAGGCTGCCCCATGCCGTTCAGCCGCACCATGAGGTGTCTGTGGTTCGGGGTGTAGAGGTGGACGTCTGACAGCACAGTGTCACTTTTGAAGGTGACCTCGTCCATGGCCAGGGTGGGGGCCAGCTACCATGGCCGGGGTCCACGGGAATCATGGGACAGGAGCACCTGGAAGGCAAGACCAGGTCCTCAGGATGGCAGGTCTCAGAGGGGAACAGTGTGAATACTTAAATAGCTTTGCATTACCCCAGGAGAAAATGCTTCCTTTTGTAATTCTCTTCATTTTTCCTAAAGGAGAAAGTCTCACGGCCTTTGCAAGGGCCTTCGCGAGGGAAAAGATTCCAGCTAGAATTGTTTTATTTTGTTTGCACTGTGTTTGCACAGTAATCTTTTATTTATGGCAAGGGATCCGAATTTCCATGTATACTGATATCCTTCCCTTTTAATTTCCAACTCTTCTACTGTGAAAATTTTCAAACAGACTAGAAAGCTGAGGGCATAGCATGATAAACAGGCATATACCCGCTGCTTAGATCCAATGATCATCAACACCTTGTCATAAGAGGTCAAATGATCTACTGGGGTTTTTGCCCTCCTGAACTGAGAGTAAATTCTAGATATTTTACCTCTAAATTCCTCTACAGCATCTGTCCCCTAACACATGTTCTTACATTACCACAAGACCATTAGCAGATCTAAGATGATTAATTCCTTTGTATCATTTAAAACTCCATCCATAGTCAACTATCTCCGTTTCTCATGCAAATGTCTTTCATAGCTGGTTTTGCCTAAAACAGTATTGGATTTACAAAGTCAATTCAATTCGCGCTCTGCATTTATTTTCCCTTTACTTCTTTTTTTATTCTAGAAGTTGACCCTAGCTGTCCAAATGCCCTTCGTTGCTTTGAAACTTTCTTTTTAAATTTAAAAAAGAAAAAAAAAAAGAGTAGATGCAAAGGAAAAGCAACCAAGGGGCGCTCACTATACAGGTGATATGTAGATAGAGGAAATTATGCAGGTTAACACAGCAACAACTGAAGTCTGGAAAACCACGCCTGAGGCAAAGTGGCCAGAAGAGAAAGGCTCCCCCTCCAAACCGAGTGGTCCGCCTCATCAAAAAGCATCAAGCAGACCCATGTCTACACCCCAGTCTCCCACCTCGTGGTGATGAGACCTGGGGGAAATTACGTCACCTATCTGGACCTGCTTCTCCAGCTATATTCTCACTGTGCAGGGGTCCTGGGGCGTAAAGCACTGAGCATTGTCCGTGGTCCACAGCTGTTAGTTCCTTGTCCTGGGGGTGGTTTCAGGCCTTCGGCCCAAACCTGCCCATAACCCCCGACAGGACTGTTCCTTACCTGGCTTAGGTGTGTGCACTAGCTGTGTGTGTTAGGCATGTCATGAAACCTCTCAGGCCTCCATTTCCTCAACTGGAAAACGGGATGATTAACACAGGCTCTCCTTGCAATCTGAATGCACGTACTGTCACAATCTGAGCACGTGTAACAGAAGTTCCTCCGTTTAAGGACTTGACGTGGGGGAGCCGAAGTTTCACAAAAGTTTCCAAAAGTTGTTTCGGGAAAAAGCTGACACCTTGTTAAATTAGTCTCTATGCTGGCTCTTCCCACATGACAGTGTAAGCCAGGACAGAGCCAAGTGGGCTGTGAAGGGAGGCTGTGAAGCTAGTAAAATGATGCATGATTTCATGATGCCAGTGGAAGTTATGGAGGAGACATGCCCCATCCTCAGGCAGAAGCACTCAGCCAATGAGGACTGGAAAAGTTAGGCTGGATCCCAAAAAAGGACCGAAAGTCTTAAAGGTAGATGTGGCTCTCCCAGCACTGAAAGATGTCCTGGGGGAAACTGAGGACTTCCACCTATAGTTTTGGAAGAAAAAAAAAAAAGATCCCCTGTGACGATGCTGCGAAAAGTCAAACTTGAACCAAAGGATGCTGTTTCCTGCCATAGTGACATTTTGTTGGAAAAACGACATCCCACAAAGGAGCGTAATATTACAATTACACATCAGCTTTTCTTAAAGACGGACCAAAATAATACTCATATTCTTAAATGCTAGTTGAATTATCGGTTTTAAAAGCCGAATTACCCAGGATTCCTGGAAATGTGCCCTACAACTGAGAACCAGGAAGTGGAACCCCTTTAAAGGGCTTCTTCTAGAATCAGTTATGGGGGAATACATGTGTCTTGTACATACTTTGGGGCTTGTGTGAGGATTAAATGAGACGAGGATCAGTTTTAAGGTTTGGGTCAAATAAAGAACAAGACTAAGTATCAGTCATTATAGCAATAATCGTAATTCTTGACGAGCGTGCTTGGAGATGGAGAAAGGCAACAAGTTTTTCCATTTGGGAACAGCTGACTCGGAGTATCTGTCTGGGAATGCTACAAATGGATGTGCCTCGACCCGCTCTCCTCACTGGAGAGGAGGGAAAGGACACCCGCACTGCAGATGGGATCCCCTCCGACTTCCTTGGGGCTGCAGGTTCATCCCGCAGCACCTGCTGACAAGTGTGTCCTTGGCTCTTAACAGCTGTAGGGGCTAGACTAAGACGCCGTCATGGTTTCTACGGCGGTTCCCCAGTCAGGGTTACCCCCCAAAGCAGTTTGCTTTCTCTGACAGTAGGTGGCCAGGCGTGGGATAATACAGACCAGGGGTGAAGACGGGGAAGCTGGAGGGGCCACCGCCGAGAGTTGGGGTCAGGGGCCCCAGAGATCTCCTCCTCCCCCGGGGCTCTTTCCGTCCTGCCCTCCCTGAACCCCTTTCAAAAGTCATAGTTCGGCCTCGCTCTCCCTTCTTAATCCGGAACCGAAGGGGCTGCTTGGGCCCGGGACAGAAACTCACATGACAAGAGGGCTCCTTCTCCCTACACCCTTGCTCGGAAGGGAACAGAGACCGAGCGGACTTGGGCTTTAGGTCCATGGGAGCCCGGTCTCGAGGCCAGGCTCGCTGCCAGGAGGCTCCCTGCACTCCCCGCATCCGGCCGCCTCTCCCAGGAACTTACCCGCTGCGAGCACCAGGACGGAGTCCGGCTGAGCCTCCTCAACCCCGAGCTCAGGCGGCCGCCATAATAGGCGGCCTGCGCAGGCGCGGCCCCGCCTCCTCCGCGCGCGTCGGCGGGCGCCACGCCGTAACCACGCCCACCTGCTAGAGCTGCCCGGGCGAGGACTCTCGGGACCCTTCCTTAACCGGAAGCTGGTGGCCCTTGGTCCCTAGTACTTTGTCCCTTCTTCCATTCAGGAGGCCTGACACAGACCTGCCATGTTAGGCCATGAGGGTCCTACCTTAAGTTATGACCCAGTGGCAATCCTACGTTGGGGTCAACTCCTCCAGGAAGCCTTCCCTGAGTCCTCTTCCTCCAGCTTACATTGACCAGAGTCTGGGCTCTCCCAGTCCGCTATACTCCGCCTATCAGAGCATCTGTGACTCTGGTTGTCAAGACCTGTTTACCTGTTTCCCTCACAAGTTCTGAGTGCCTTGGGGGCAGAAGCAGCTGCTGGTTCACATCTGCAACTAAACTTCTCCCTATCTGGAAAGGATAATAGAATAATGCTTGTAAAGCAGTTAGCATCATCCTTGGCATGCTGTGAGTACCCAAGAAATGACAATTATAAGGTTTTTTTGAGAAGCTTTTATTTTTATTTTTAAAAATTTTATTTATTTATTTACTTACTACAAGTTTATTTATTTTTAGAGAGAGACAGCATAAGCAGGGGAGGGGCAGAGAGAGGGGGAGAGAGAGAATCCCAAGCAGGGTTCACACTATCAGCACAGAGCCCTATGTAGGGCTCGATCCCACAAACCGTGTGATCATGATCTGAGCAGAAACCAAGAGTTGGACACTTAACTGATTGAGTCACCCAGGCACCCCTTTAAATTTTATTTTTTTTTTTACATAAGTGTACTCTTAAATCTCCACCTTGTATTTCCCCCATCCCCCTCCCTCCCCTTTGGTAACCATCAGTTTGTTCTGTATAGTTGAGAGTCTGTTTCTTGGTTTCTCCCTTTGCTCATTTGTTTTGTTTCTTAAATTTCACATGAGTGAGATCATACGGTATTTGTCTTTCTCTGACCGACTTAATGCACTCAGCGTTATACTCTCCAGCTCTAACTGTGTCATTGCAAATGACAAGATTTCAGTCTTTTTAAAAGGCTGAATAATATTCCATAGTGTGTGTGTGTGTGTGTGTGTGTGTGTGTCAGAATGTATGTTTATATAAATACATATATTTATCATATCACATCTTTATCCATTCGTTGATCAATGAACACTTGGGCTGCTTCCATTGTTTGGCTATTGTAGATAATACTGCAATAAATACAGGGGTACATGCATCCCTTTGAATTAGTATTTTTGTATCCTTTGGGTAAATGCCCAGTAGGGCAATTACTGGATCATGGGGTTGTTCTATTTTTAACTTTTTGAGGAACTTCATGCTGTTTTCCATACGGGCTGCACCAGTTTGCATTCCCACCAACAGTGCACTGAGGGTTCCATTTGCTCCACATCCTTGCCAACACCTGTTGTCGATTTTAGTCATTCTGACAGATATGAGGCAGTATCTCATTGTAGCGGGTTTTTTTTTTTCTCATTGTGGTTTTGATTTGTATTTCCCTAATAATGAGTGATGTTGAGCATCTTTTCATGTGCCTATTGGCCATCTGGATGTCTTCTTTTGAGAAATGTCTGTTCATGTCTTCTGCCCAATTTTTAGTTGGATTTTGTGTTTTTGGGGTGTTGAGTTGTGTAAGTTCTTTATATATTTTGGACACTAGCCCTTTATTGGATATGTCATTCGCAAATATCTTCTCCCATTCCGTAGGCTGTCTTTTAGTTTTGTTGATTATTTCCTTTGCTGTGCTGAAGTTTTTATTTCAATGTGGTCCCAATAGTTTATTTTTGCTTTTGTTCCCTTGCCTCAGGAGACATATCTAGAAAGAAGTTGCTATGGCCGATGTCAGACAAATTACTGCCTTTGTTCTTTTCTAGGATTTTTATGGTTTCATGTCTCACATTTAGGTCCTTAATCCATTTTGAGTTTATTTTTGTGTATGGTGTGTGAAAATGGTCCAGTTTTCCCAACACCGTTTGTTAAAGAGACTTTTTCTCACTGGATATTCTTTCCTGCTTTGTTGAAGATTAATTGAATTTACAAGCCATAATCATTGCTAATCCTAAATCATTCAGGTAGTAATCACCCCCGACATGCTGGGAGGGGGGGGCACACGCGTGCAAACTGTCTGGTCAGTGGGCCTAGGTGAATCTGATCTTCACCCCTCCTTCCAGGCTCTGCAAACGTAGGCAACAAAACTATTAATGTCCCGGCTGAGGTAACAAATTGCCATAAATGGGAAGGCTTAACTCAACGAGGATTTATTCGCTCACGCTCCTGGAGCCCAGAAGTCCAAAATGAAGAGTCACCAGGGCTGTACCCTCTCCCAAGGCTCTAGGGAAGGATCCTGTGTATTAGTCAGCTCGAGCTGCTGTAACAAAACACCATAGACTTCGTGGCTCAGACAAAAGACCTTTACTTCCTCACAGTTTGGGAGGGGGATGCTGAGGAGTCCATGACTGAGGTGCCACCATGGTTGGGGGTTGGTGAGAGCACGAAGTTCTTGGCTGGCAGACCTCTCTGTCGTCAGGCGGCCGCTTTTTGTGTAGGCAAGGAGAGAGGGAGCAAGCTGTCTGGTGCTTCTTCCTATAATGATATTAATCCTCTGCCATCAGGCTCTACCCTTATGACCTCATTTAACCTTACTTCCATAAACGCTTCATATTCAGAAATGGCCTCACTGGGCTTTGGGGCTTCAATCTATGAATTTAGGGGGACAGAAACATTCAATCCACACTACCTCCCTGCCTGCCTCCTAGCTTCTGGTGGCTGTCAGCTGTCATTGGCTTCTAGATGCATTACTCCAATCTCTGCCTCTGTCTTCACATGGTCGTCTTTCTTGTGTGTATGTGTCTAAATTTCCTTTTAGGAAGGTACCGATTACTGGATTAGGGCCCACCTCATCCAGCATGACCTCATTTTCGCCTTATTACATCTGCAAAGACCCTATTTCCAAATAAGGTCATGTTCCAGGTTTGGGGTTAGGACTTGCACATATCTTTCGGGGAGACACAATTCAACGCACAATAGAAACCGTCTTGGAAGGGTTCCCCCGGAGGGACCCAGCTCTTCAGCCCACTGCTGTAAGAGTAACCCCCTGCCCTCCACCTGCCCTCCACTCGCCCCCCCCCCCCCACCTGCCCCTACATCATGGAGCAGAAACAAACCTGGCCCCATGGTGCCCTTCTTGAATTCCTGACCCGAAGAATCCATGAGCATAACAAAAGGGTTATTGTTTATGCCACTGAATTTTGGGGTAGTTTGCAACACAACAGGAATTTATGGGAATAAGGGGAATGAGAGTCAGCCCTTCTTTGCAGAGCTCTGCAGACGTGGGGGAGAGGTCCCTTCCCATTCCATGTCTCAGTT